CACTTCATCTAGGCACTCTTGACAATGGTAGACGTCATAACAGCAATGTTTTATTGGCTTTGAGGGTTGAACTGGCTCAACCATGTGGACCGTAGGGAAGATGTTGGGTTTTTTCTGGGAAGAGAATTTGACTTCTCCAAGTCCGTTTTCATGTCGGATGAAGTCCATCGTGGTAGTTTGTACTGGTGATTGGTGGATCAGCTCGTAATTAGTTATCCATTTTTCTAGGAGTAGCTTGAGTAACTCCTCTTTGGACAACTGGTTAGGGACGTAAGTACTACATGTGCGTGTTGCACTTGAGTTGATATATATGAATAGTGCATCTCCAATATGTTCCTGATCTGGTACCATAATGTCTAGAGAATGATTTTGTACTTGGTATGCCATCTGGTAATGAAATGTTTCCTGGAAGGCGTTTACTTGGGGAGTACCACTAATCTGGATCTGGGCCTTAAGCGTCATGTGTAAAGAAGGATCATTGAGCGGCATGTTGAAGTTTGGATAGAAAGTGATAAAGATGGTTCCAGCATTTAAAGTAGTTTGGATTGTACCTATGCAAGCATGTTGGTACTCTACAAACCTTGTGTCTACTAGAGCAATGCGTGAAAATGCAGGGAGGCCTTCCTACCATGGAAGGTAAGGGCCAATCTGATAGCTCCGAAGTAGATATGTGCATATCCTTGAGCCATGCAATGTCTAGGAAGGTCTATTGGAAGGGACAGTGTAATGCAGTACTCCTAAAGAGGTCCAACCTATCCTCAAGAAACAAATCCTCCCAATGGTGTTCCCAATAGCTAACGCTAGTTCTTTAAACCAAGATGCCTCTCAAGCCATCCCCATGAACCTCCCAGAAGAAATTACAAAACCATCGCCGACTTGACCCTGAAAGAAAGATCTCACCTTAACTACAAAATGTTCTTTATCATCACCCTACAAAAGCATGGCCCCTTCATGAAAAATCTCAAGTTTCACCCTGATTATCCTTTCCTGAACATCTTCCACATTCAAGATTTGTATGGGTTACCAAAAGAAGCACTATGCTTTTTCTGGTATCTTTTCGAGTCCTTTATTATTGTCGTTTCGTTCAATGTTGTCAAGCTATATTCATACATGTTTCAATGTCAATTAGAGAACGCCCTAAAAGGTTCCAAAAATGTATTCACCCTCTTCAGTTGGTTCGATCTTCCTTACAAATGGCTCCAAAAGCTATCTGTGTGCTATAAAACTTATGTAGTCATCATGTTCAGAAGGTCTTGTTCTTTCTTACCTCCTATGGTAATTACAGAACAAACACAATCAATAGTTTACCATTCACCTTTAGCCTTCATCCACAATTGGTATGATGTTAATCATTCGAGCAAATCATTTGAAATATACCAAGTTCACAGACACGTGGAAATAGGTGGTCTTCTCGCCAGTGCAAATCAAGTAAGCCCCCAGACGATTCCAACACATGTCATGGAAAACAAAGAATTATGGCCTACAGAACACCCATTGTTATCAAAGTAGAATGAGTCTATCCAACAGTGGTTTCAAACTCATCTTTCACAAAAAATAGATACCTCTGATGAATATGACTCCACAGACCAAGAAGAAGATGACGATTACAACCTGTATGAAGAGCAGTTTGATCTATACGAAGACGACCCATCTCATCCGGATTCACGTTGGAAATAAAATAAAATAAAATAAAATAAAAATATTTCAGATGTTTTATTGTAAAATAATGTGTGCAAATATTTCTTAGGTTTTAAGTATTTATGTGATGTAAAAATGATGGAAGTTTTAGATCACTTTTAAGTAGGGATGGTGATTTGGCCCGACCCGGTGGGTTCACCCGGTTCACCCGACCCGGACGGGGACGGGGATTCCCCGCTAAAACGGGTACCGGGGCCGGGGCCGGGGATCCCCGGTAGAGGCAAACCGGGGACGGGGCC